CAACTACTTGGGCCTGTCTGTCTGGATTCAACATAGAACTTGGCACCGAAGTGCAGCAGTTCGAGTTGCCACGTTCCAAACAGCCCACAGAGGTAGACAAGAAGATGAGTGAAGAGAATTAATAGAGTTTGACAAGTATAAGAGTGAAGCAGAATGGGTAATGGTAGAAAGGAATATGAAAGATTACAGAGACTGAATACATCTGCGCCATTGACAACGATTTTGAGCCATGTCACCTATTGTCTCCAGCCATTGATTCCTAGAGTCCCGAGGGCCCCAACCCGGGAGTCTGCATCTCCCTACCTGACTCAGTTTAACTGTCAAGGATTTCATGGATTGATGCCATGTTTTTGTTTGGCCACCACTGGCTCTTTTCCAACCTGAACCTATATCAGCTAGCAAAGCCCGTCGGGGGAGGCGGTGGTTAGGCATGCGCAGCACGTGACCTAGCCATCTTAGTCTATGTAATTTTATAGCCTCGTCGATTGATTTGCCCTCTTTGCCCAACACTCTACGCCTAACATCAACATGGGCCTGTATTCGATGGAGTCGTGAGTGTGCACTCATGAAGAGCATCAAATTAGGACGAAACAGCTTTACAGTGCTCTCTGGTTTTGAATGATCTCTAGCTGATGTTCGTTTGTGATAAGATCTACATTGAATTTAATCCAAATGCCTATTTTTCTAATGACAAATCCAGACAAGGAATTTTAATTTCTTCAAACAAAGTTAAACACCAAGTTTGATTCAGTCATTATTTTCAAAATAAAATGTATCAAAAGTAATCACATTGGGGTTACGAAACCGGAACAAAAAAAGAGTTTTTCTGAACTCTTGTCAATACAACTGAATACAATTAAATGATGACTAATCACATCTAATCAGTAGGGACAAACATACATTTATCACTATGAGAGTGACATACACACATATGCTTTTCTTACTTTTCATGTACTATTTGACTGTTCGTAAAAACAAAACATCCTTACAAACCGACTATTGAAAATTAATCTGATGCTCTCTAGTCGCTTGCTACAGGACAGAGTTTCCTGTGGTTCTAGTGGGAAGTCGTGACCAGTGAGGTCCATCCAGTCAAGTGTGAGGATGGATGTCCCACCGATGACATTGGTTGGGGTCGCGCTGAATCATGAATTGGTAGAAGTTAGAATTCATGGACTAGCCATTGAATTGGTTCCAGTGGCTGAATGGCATACGAGCTTCCCTTGTAACGGGAAGGTCCTGGGTACGAACCCTGGCGGTGGTTGCGTACTTCCGATGGTTCCCAAACTAGGATGAAACAGCTGCCAGTACTGTCTGCTGATTTTCAATGGTTCTCTAATTGATAACAGTCCGTGATCAACTCGTGAAAACAAAAGACTAATCCTTACAAACCAACTATAGAAGATAAATTGTGTGATGAAGTGATTTTTGTTTCAAACATCATTTCATATATTTTTATTCTTTTAATTTGATTACAGCTTGATTCCACACAGTACCTTTTTGGTACAAGTATGGAATTTTCAGCATGGATATCGGTAGCCCAAATTTCCCAGGCCGACCATAGATATCAGGTGTGCGTCGGAAGGGGATCGAACCTCGGACCATGTGCATGGTCGGCGAGAGTCCTAACCACTGTGCCACCGACGCACAGTATAGGCATCCAACCGGTAGACAATATTATTTAACATGCTGACACAACACTAAAATAGATGTTACGAAAGCAAGACATCGAAGAACAATTTGAAATAGCCCTAGATGAAGGAATTAATGATAATTATATGATAACGCACTAATCACAGATGATATAAGAAAACTTTGGCTGCAGTAGACTCCAAAAACCAGGTGTTCTGAAAAAGATGTTATCTTATCACACTCTTCATCAAATATTGGAATTATTATCAAGTTAATATGATATAAGGTAAGGAGGCATGGTAGAATTAATAAAAGTCAAGAAAACACAGTCAGATACTTCAAAAAGTATGTAATGGGATAGGAGATATTAACCTACCAGTGAATGTAACCCATTCGATGCAGAGAATGAATAGCCTCTACGGCTTCAGCGGCATAAAACTGTACCATCTTTGCATCCAATAAGTGACCAACTCTAAAAGTATAAAATATATCAAGCCATTATAGTTGTATATTTATATTCGCGGTATTTAAAACAAACTAGAAGTGCTAAAAGCTAATTTATACATTCTTCACTTCAAACTAACTGAACCACTGGTTTCAACGTAGAACTATGCACAGATGTGCAGCAGTTTGAGTTGCCACGTTCTATGCACCACACAAAGCAAGAATAGATATTCAAAAGAGAGAGAGATAATAAACAGAGGTGTAAGGCAAACAGAATAGTTACATGGAAGAACAATAGAGTTTTATTGAATATGACATATCACAAAGAGTGAATGCATCTGCCCCAGCCATCAGTTAGTACGATTTCTAGACATATCACCAATTTTCACCAGTCACTGATGTTTACCATCCCGAGGAACCCAACCAGTCAGGAAGTCTACACCTCCCTACGTGGTTGAATGGCTTAAACTAACTGTCGTGGATTTCATTGACTGATGAAGCCATGTTTTTTCGTTTGACCACCACTAGCTCTCTCTTTTCCCACCTGATCCTATGTCAGTCAGCTGACATCACCTGTCGTGGAAGGCGATGGCTTAGCATACGTAACACGTCTCCTAACCATCTCAATCGGTGTAACTTCACAACCTTGTCGATTGGTTTCCCCTCCAACCTACCTAGTACTCGACTAATACCTAACCTCAATATTGCTCGTCTCATTATACCATTTACCACTGGAGATAGAACACAGACACCTATGATCAAAGACAGGTAGCCAGACAGCCTTTTCATGTCTTCCACTACAAACTAAACTGAATTTAAGTAAAGAACAGTGTTAGTCACAGCCAGTCTCAATCGACACAAGCGCATTAGAATAGATAGAGAACAGAAGTTATAATAAGAACTAACAACATTCATAACAGCAGGGATAAAAATTCAGCGATGTTTTCACACAGACAATTCCTCCAGAATTTCGGATCTCATAAAACTGAAGATCTTCAATACATTTATTAAAAGTAAACAGTGAGCACAGAAACTAACGTGATCACTCTCAGTGATTGAGGGATAGTGTATTATTTTATACTCTTCTTTTACTAAGGAATTCCTGAAAAACTTCTCGACTAATGTCATCAAAACTAAAGTCTACAGAGTAAATACTTCGAACCACTTACACTGATGCTTTTGGTTTCTTGTAAAAGAAAAAAGCATTTATATATATATATATATATATATATATATATATATATATACATATGTATATATATGTCGGCAAGTGGAAATGCGATGTCTGTCTGTCTGTCTGTTTTCGACATAGAACTTTGCACAAATGTGCGGAAGTTCAAGTCGCCACATTCCGTGTAGCACGCGAAGCAAGAGAAGAAAGTACAAGAAAAGCATAATAGAAACAGTGAGCCGAGGTGTGAGACAAAGGAGTAGTAAAGAAATACAAAACAGTTTCATTGAAGATCATAAGTCACAGGGAGTGGATGCATCTGCGCCACTGAGAACGGTTTTGAGCCATGTCACCAATTGTTTCCAACCATAGATTTTTACCGTCCCGAGGACCCCAGCCTGGAAGTCTACACCTTCCTACGTGGCTTAGACCAACTGTTGTGGATTTCATTGACTGGTGCCAAGTTTTTGTTTGACCGCCGCTAGCTTTTTTCCAGCCTGACCCTATATCCGCTAACATTGCTCGTCGAGGGAGGCGATGACTTGGCATACGTAACACATGTCCTAACCATCTCAGTCTTTGTAGCTTCACGACTTCGTCGATTGATTTCCCCTGTTTACCTAGAACTCTACGCCTAACCTCCATGTTGCTCACCTTATTATGCCACTTTACACGGGAAATAGTACGCAGGCACCTATGATCAAAGACAGCTAGTCTTTTCATGTCTTCCACTCTCAGTGACCAGGTCTCACAACCATAAAGGAGGACGGAGCGGACTGATGTACAAACTGGGAATGCTATACTACGGTAAAGAAAAACAACCAGCAGACGTACAAGAATATATAAAATAAATTAGGCGATTACCGGGGTCGGCACAGAATACGCAAATAGACTCAGTTAGACGTTAAGCACCAAAGGGATGCGGTCACATCAGTGACCTTGGAACGCTCAGACAGAAACGGGATATCCGGTAAGTTTTAGGTTACGTATAGATAGGATTAAGTTGATGTTTAGACTAAGGACAGATTACGGTAAGATTAATCTAATAAGGAAGTTATCAGGGTTGGCTAGAGTTTAAATTAGAGTTAGTTTAAAGATAGTTTCGCGTTAGGGTTAAGGTCAGAAGACCTAGATGAATACATGTATAGTGTGCCTTAGTTACTCTATTGACATTCCAATGCAAACCAGGAGGGCATTTTTGTCACATGTCAGAAAAAAGGTATCCTGTGTAACAGTTGCATGTCATTTAATTCACTATTTTCATAAATATATGTACTTTACACGTAAAAATCGCTTTTTCCATAAGACTGATGCGTCCAATCCAAGGCCATTGGTGCATTCCTTTTTTTCGATGCTCAAAGTTTAACTTAGCTTCCTGAAATCGTAATACATTTTGACGACGAAAACTGAATACTGTAAAACAATATTTTAAAAGTAAAAATGACAACGCGAAGTTGAATCAAATCAAACTGAGGTAGAAGTGAGTAGTTTATACAACCAATCAATCATACTGAATTACGATTATATATAATGCCTTGAATAACGATCAATTTTAAACGGCTAAAAGTTATCAGTGAGTTAGAACTAAACAGACTAAAAAACAAAAAAATGAATGAACTCACGTACTTGCTTAAAAATATATATAGGTCACCACCAGGTTCGTAATCCATGACGAGGTGTAAATACTTTTCGTCTTGAAATGCATAATGAAGGTGTGGAAGCCATGGATTTCCGATGGCAGTTGCTTGAGCTAACACAGTTCTCTCAAGTAGTATCTGAGATCCCTCCTATACAAACAAATCATAATAGAAGCATATAATAAAAATATCAATATTATAAACACCTACCGGGTCATGATGTAGCCAAGCTCCTTTAAACTGCGATTTCATTGCATATACAGAATGAGGAGGTGACACTTCGCGCACTACGCGAACAATGCCACACGCTCCTCTACCAACACATGCGCCAAGTTTAAAGTCTGATAATTTAAGCCGAAGTTCTGATAACCGTGAGATGATGGGTTTTACTGTAAGCAAACAAGTACACAAAAAGGCCTGTAAGATACTTTTCAGAAATACAATATAATTTCAGCATGTAGAGTAAAATTTGTTCAATATTGTCATTGTGGAAACATTTGAAGGTAACATATGTTGACATTCATATACCCTTGAATTTCAGAAGCCAAATTAAACAGAAGAACCAATATATGAAAAAAGACTAAATTACCTCTTCTGCGAAAGAATTTCGCAGCCAAGATAGTGGGTGACTGTTCATACTCATCTGATCCCCGATCATCTGCATTCTCCATACAATCGTGATATATTTGATCAACCAATGAATTTGTGACAAAAAGACAGTCTAAAAGACCATCAATGGATAGTAGACATGGATCGGGATTAATTGGACGATTACGCTTGTTTAAAGGTAAAAGCTGTAAACCACTTCTTTGTGAATCTTTTTTGAATGAAAGACTAATTCCCATGCTGGGTGAAAAAAGCAAAGGAGGCCGTGTTAACAAGTCAAATAAATAACTGGCACGTTTAGACGTCCAATCCAAGCATCGAATATCTTCTAGATTCGTCATATAGCTTTCATTTTCTTCACCTTTGACTTTAAATTGAAATATATCCATATCTTGAATTAACGTTGTACCATCAGTCTTCATATCATGTGTAAGATTAACACTCCTCGATTCACTCCGTTTCACACCACTTTTACTCTTCATCTGAAGAGGATGCGGTGTAGAGGAGACCAAAAAGTTGTCGATAGGTTTAATCGGTGAAGTCATTTTATAACCTGAAAGGAAATCTTACATTATGACAAAAGAAAAACAAAATTAAATAGGAAGAAACAAGATTATGTATGGAGAATATTTATTTATCAAACAACTGACAACATGATTTTGAAGTGAAAATATCTGAAGAAAATGAAGCGGCAATCTGAAAACAACTTGAAACATACAAAAGTTGTTTAGCATTACTCAAACGTATTGAGCGTGTTAACATTGTAGAGAGGAATTTAACATGACTATCAAATTCATTAGAAAGCATATCGACTTTTACTTTAAAAGTGGAACTATCAGAGTTCAAGTATAGAAAAAGGTTACCACCTATCCATAAGTCTTGTAGTTGAAGACCCATATTACAAAGATTATAAATCTCGTTACGAAGTAACAAAGAAGATTCAGTTAATAAACAAACAGCCTGTAATTCACTCAGTAATTTATTGTGGTCCTGAATAAGATCAGAAAAACGGTATGTTTCTGGAATGCTGATATTAACTAGGTTAGGCGCTGAAAAGTTGGGGAGACACCATTTAGACGAAAATCGGATCCTAAGCGTCTCGACTCTGTGCACCAAGAAATCGTGTAAACTTGTAAAAATGAATAACATTTTAATCCGCAGGATGATAAGATTGTGACTGACAGGGGAATATTTCAGATTTCCTCTTCTCAAATTATTGAAACGTAAGTTTTCCAAACTCCATTTGACATATTTTATCTAAAACAAAAATAATTCGAATAACAACATTTAGTATGAAAAGTAAGTAAAATTGTTTCGACGGCAATTTTAGAAGGTTAACAGCAAAATCCTGTGAAACTGTACTTGGAAATCTCCTATATCATGAAAAATACGTATTCCTGATTGAATCACCCTTTTCGCACATATATTCATACTTCATATTGCATCTTACTTCTGTTTGACTAGCTGAAATTAGCGAATGAGTCAATCAGTCAGTTACCAAGCTCTCAATGAACACAGGTAATGGTGAGAATATAGGGATGAGAAAACGATGTAAGAATATTAAGAGCTTCAGAACTCTGAAGACAACCAAGAGCAGATACTTTTTACCTGTGTACAATTTTAGCATCAGATATTCCTCAGCCAGGCCAGTTAAACTGTCTTAAATGGCTAAAGCCGACGATCATACTTACTTCATTGAATGGTCCCACGTTTTGGTATGATCACTACCGACATAATCCTACGTCTAAAATGACTTGAAATTCTTCGCAATAGTGCTTACTTATTTGCTCCTTGATACCATTTAGATATTAAAGCGCCTCGCACCGCTTCACCACATCTTTCTTCATTTTTACATGTCCCTTAGAAGTGTCACCTATAAGTAGTGCACTTGCACAAAAGACGTGATGAAATCACTTGAGGTAAGAATCTCACCCTTCAGGAGTGCCTACGATACAGCGAGGTACCCAATATCAACTGATTACAATGACTTAGTTCATTACGGTGACCATAGAAATGCCAAGTCCACCTGGTAGCAAAATGCTCGCTTTAAATGTTGTTTCCCTCTTCACGAGCATTACTTTAGCTGAGACTATATGTTAAACCTGAAAACCTAGAAATACCTGTTACCGTAAACTACTAGAACGAACTACTTCTCATATATGTCTATGAACATTTAGTTCCATGAATACTAGTTACGGGGTCTCATCTCAGTCCAAAATTAGCCGACTGTTTCATGACGAGTGTTGGAAACAACGTACTCAATCGTTCGATCAATCAACTGCACTTGTACAAAAGACATCTTGGCAATAATCTGTGATAAAAAAATGCCATACAGATAATCTTGTTAACATATTCAATGTACCGTATCGGGGAATAAATATAACTTAATTTAATACGAGAATGAAACCTGTCTTTGCATTCCTGAATGTGCTTCACACTAGAAGATAACACACCTTGATCCGAAGATCAATATACTGAAAATCAACATCATCTGAACAGTTTATTAACTTCCAAAACCTTGTTTTCATTAAAGTTTAGATGTTCCCGTCGATTGATTAGACTGAAGTGCTCGGTCTCAGGTTGACATGTTGGCAGTGGGTTCGAGCTTCGGTGGGAACATCATCACTCACTGGGAAATGCAGGTACATCCAGTTGGCAGACGAGTCCCAAATAGGACGAAGTGTGCATTCTGGATTCCACTGCAAGTCACCATCCACAAATTAAATTCCAGAACCTTGTCTTACTAATGATGGAGCAAAACATAGTGCATTCTTTATACACAATATGATTCGAGAAATCTGTTCTGAGGATACTGTAGAAACTAAATCGAAATCTCTAAGTGATATCTTCTTGAAAAAGCTAAATTTATCGACAGGAACAATGAAGGGAAAACATTCATCGTTGAAAGTCTCAACTGTTCCTAAAAACTCTCTTCATCAACTTAGAGTCCAGCGGTGACGCAACGATCTGGAAATCTACGCTGGCTAGAAAGTCAATTTTCATGTGACCATTCCATATTAGAGAAATTAGATAAAGTTATAAGTAGTTATAGTCAAGCTGAGAACAAACTACTATTGAACGTGAAGTCGTACGGCTAACAGGATAGTAGTGTGGTGACAATAAGGAATTTTTCTGTCAGTGGTAACGAAGTTCCTACAAGGAGAAACATAGTTGTAATAACACATACGAAGAACTACTACTTAAAGTAAGTGGGCTAGGTAATGTACGGTCTTCAAGAGGTAAGGTTCCCTAATTTCATCGACATCACAGTAGTATGAAAATTTAGAATTCGATTACAAAGTCAATGCCTGGATCGTTAGGGCATCCGACTACTAACGGGTGCTCAGGGACAAATACCTAAAAATACAAAACTATTAAAGATTGGTGCTCTGCTTGAATCACTGGGCTATCTAATTTTCGATCCATCAAAATGCATCTTATTTACCTTACTTATTATTGTTCTAACCATCCAATTGCAATCTCGCACCATAATCTCTATTCACGATCATTTTCAAAAAGGTTTTAACCTACTTGTATGAATTTATCAAAGAAAAGGGAGGAGAAATCTAGCAGGTTATCACAGCATACTTTAGATAGGACAATATTGACCAAATAACTCAGTTTTAAAATAGAATTTCACACAGAAGTACTCTCGTTCAATTCGCCACACTCCATGCAACACGTAAGGTGGAGTGATTCAAAAAAATTATAATGGGCAGAAATGTGCAGGAGAATAGTAACATGGAAAAGCACGACGGTCTAGTGGATTGCAAAGAGTGGATGCATCTGCACTGTTGAGACCAATTTCTAGCGACATCAACATTCACTAGTTCTTACAATCCCGAGAGTCCTAGCCAGACAGTCTACAACTCCCTAAGTGGATCAAACCAAATATCAAAGACTTTATGTATTGATGCCAGATTTCCTTCTCACCACCCCCAACTCTTCTACCATCCAATCAATCCTATGTCAGCTAACATTTCCTGACAAGGAACGCCGTGGGATGTTATAAACAACCAGTGTCCTAGACGTCTCAATAGAATAACCCTCACAACCTTATCGGATGAATTCCCTCCCTCACCTTTCTTCAATATTACTCACCATATTATGCCACTGAATACGGGTGATAGGACGCAAACATACGTGGTTAAAGAAAGTAAGCTTCTTCATTTACTCCACTTTCAATGGCCATTTCCCGGAGCCACAAAGTAGGATGCAGAAAAGTGCTGCGCAATACAAACATTGTTTGATCGATAGCCAAATATCACGTCTACGCTAAAGATGGTGTGTGATACACAAGCCTTTAGTGCTCAGGACTCCGCATTTTTTCAGTGTCTTCATCCAAATAAAGACTGTCCCCTGGTAGCAAGTCAATCTCTAAGTTGCTAAAGTAGTCAGGGTCAATTCCATTAGTACATCTCTGATGAAATTAAGCAAAAATAGAGGCAGCAGGCTTCTTTGGTCAACACCACTGGTACTTCATACGACAACTCTCCGTAGGATCTTATACGGCAGAACACTGCCATAGCACTTCTGTGTTGACGGAGTTGAATGCCGCCTTCAGGTCAAGAAAATGGCAAGTTTTAGAGGCCAAAAACTATGCCTATTTTCAAGGATCTGTCGGAGGGTGAATTTTCAATACACGCACTTTCTGAACCAAAGCCTGTCTGGGTTTCCCGAAAAATACTAAGTCTACGCATTATTATTGAACCTAAAAGTTTAAATACTATATTAGTCAAGCTTATCCTCCTATGATTATCACAGGAACACCTGCGTCCCTTCTAAAAAATCTGGGATAATCAGTGACTTACACTAGTCAAACAGGGTTATCATCTATGATTGTCAGACATTACCCAATAGCTTAGTTAACTCACAGAACTGTTTGTCACCAACGTCCTTAAACACCTCTGCAATCACTCCATTAGATCCTATTGTTTGTTCAGATTAGACACGAGCCTTTCAACCTCAGTTACAATTGGAGGACCGATATTGTATACTAAGCAGGTTGACAGTAGCTGTAGGCCAGTTAAATCGCTGCTCAAAACGTTCCCGCCAAAGTCCCAGTCTTCTATCCTGAGAGCTAACTAAGAAATCTCTTTTATGGGAGACTGTCTCGCTTATCAATCGTCTTTTACAACCTGTTTCCATCTCTTCCGCTTTTGTCGCCCACAACTTTTCTCGATCATCGTGGAGACTTTTGTTTGTTTGTTTTTTCACTCCATCGGGATCGGTCTTCTCTTCTGGTGGTATTTACTAACATTTCCTTTTAGGTTATCAACAGTCTTTACCAGAATGTTATGCAATGCGTCCACCACAGATGTTGATCTCAGATACGCATTTATTAGCTGTTTCTCTCGTAAACAAGCAGTTCCGATCAAGATAGGCGGTGGGGGGGGCAGCGGGTAGAGAAGGGAGATAGCTGCTACTAATTTACTTGAGCCTTCTACCTAAGGGGAACATACTTTTCAACAGTAGAATGATGAGTATGCTGAGAATTCTGTGGCTATATATATTCATGAAATAGCGTTTCTTCAGAATATGAATGACCATGCC